TGTCCACAGTGACCTGGATGCCACATCCAGGTTCCTCTGCAGGCAGCTCATGCCTGTGGTGCTTGTAGTGCCTCTGGCACTTGTCCTCAGAGTCAGCTCCTAATTTTATCTCCTTACCCCCACGGTGACAGCGTGACACAGCAGAGGAGAGGCAGTGACATCAGCAGACAGACGGACGGAGCCGCGCGGAGCAGCAGAAGGGATTTGATTTTAATTAAAAGCGAGCGGTGCCAAGGTGATTGTGCTTTGAAATTGGTGCAGTGATCCCTGTCACGAGCTGTGAGGCTGCTCAGGGCTGGGGCTGTGTCTGCACGTGGTGTTCATTCCTACAATTCCAAACATCCTAGTAATGAACGCTGCCTCCCTGGAAAATGCAGAGTCAGTCCCCGTGTTTAGAAGAAAACACAATTTCTGACACATCCAGAGGTGTGTGAGGAGGGGAGCTGCTTTTGACCATCTATTTAAACACAAAGGGAGATTTTTCTACCCAAAATTTCAGTGGATGTCTGGAGGCAGCTGGAATCCCCTCAGCAGCGCCAGGAATTGCGTGGATCCTGCAGGACTGACAGTGGGTGGGGTGGGTGGGAGGGGTTGGTGTGTGTTTGGTCTGTTATTCTGCCAAGATCCCTACATGTGGAGGAAGCCTCGTGTTCTGCAGGGAGCACAGAGCTTCCATCAGCTGCTGAGGCTGGAATTTGGGGGATATTTTGGCTGTGCAGGGGCTGTAGCCTGTGCCAAGGCATCTCCAGTCCTGGGCCCTCGTGGCAAGAAGGACCTGGAGGGGCTGGAACGTGTCCAGAGCAGGGAATGGAGCCCCAGGAGGGGCTGAGGGAGCAGAAAAGGGGGTTCAACCTCGAGAAAAGGAGGCTCAGGGGGGACCTTGTGGCTCTGCACAAGAGGGGACACTGACTCTGCCAGGAGGGGACAACCCCAGGTCAGGCTCTGCTCCCGTGGGACAGGGACAGGAGCAGAGGGAACAGCCTCAGGCTGGGCCTGGGCAGGCTCAGGGTGGACACCAGCAGGAATTTCCCCATGGAAAAGGTGCTGAGGCCTTGGAACTGCCCAGGGAGGTTTGGAGTGCCCATCCCTGGAGGTGTCCAAGGAAGGGCTGAACGTGGCACTCACTGGGCTGGGTGACAAGGAGAGCATTGGGCACAGGACAGACTCGATGGTCCAGGGGGGCTTTTCCAGTCTCAGGGATTCTGGGATTCTTTTCCCTGCAGAGCAGTAACTGAGGTGCTCTGCCTGACCCCAAACTGCAGCTCTGTTCCCCTTGCAGTCACTTCCCTCACAGGAATCCCGGCCAAAGGGATCCCCCCCAAAATCCTGAGCTGGCCAAAACCCTGTCTGCAGAATGCCAAGGTCTTTTCCAACCTCCAGGACCCCGTGTGATCCCTGGTGAGGAGCTCCCCAAGCACGGAGCACTGGTTTATGGTCCAGGACCACTGGCAGTTTTGGGGGTTTGGAGACAGATACCAAGAATTTTGCTGAAATGACCTGCTCCAGAGTGGGAAAAGCAAAACAGGCTGTGAAGGAGTTGGGGTGGTTTTGAAGCATTGCTTGGAATAAGTTTTTGTGTTGATCAAAAAGCTTCATTTTTCTCGGGCGGGGGAGGCTGCAGGTTGTGGTTGGAGTGCGTGGGGCTGTCTGGCAGCGCTGGGGCTCGGTGACAGTGCCGTGAATCACCTGTGAATCACCTGTGACGCCCTGCAATTGCAGCATCTCTCCATCAGACCATGGCTGCAGCCCCAGGGCTCACCCCAGAGCCAACAGCAGTGCAGGAACAGCTCTAAACTCACCCCAGAGCCAGCAGCACTGCAGGAACAGCCCTGAGCTCACCCCAGAGCCAGCAGCAGTGCAGGAACAGCTCCAAATTCACCCCAGAGCCAGCAGCACTGCAGCAGTGTGACTTTTGCCAGGCCACCTCTCCCGCTCTGGGCAGGAGGCAGCAGCACAGAGCCTTCCCCAGGGCTGCTGTGTGCCTTGTGACCTCTCCATGCCCACGGTCCCACCTGAGGGCTCAGCAGCCCTGTTTCTACTCAGGGTGAAATGATTTCAGAAGCTCCTGAGCGTGTTTGCCTCATTTTCACCCTGTTTTCCTCTTGTCTCTCTGCCCCGTGTGCTGAAGTATTTCACAGGGGATGTTCCAGCAGGGCCTGGGTGAATTCTTTGAGGCTGAAAATGCGGTTTCAAGGCCACGATGTCACCTCAGTGAGGAGCCAACCCCTTCCCCTCGCTTGGCTTCCATTGTTTGCCACCAGCTGCTCCACAGGGACATCCTGAGGGGTACATATCCTCAGGGATATCCACCCCCTGCTCTCAGGGGGCAGGAGGCAGCTCTTACACGTTTCCCTCCCTCCTGAGCAGCTCTGCAGTGGGATTTTCCTCCTTCCCAGTCCCCTTGAAGAGGAAGGAAGCTGCAGGTGTTTGCCCTCCTCGGGAGGCTCTGCGTTGTGAAGCTCAGCCTGGTTTTGTGACCTCCCAGGACAGGGTTGGGTAGGAAACTCAACCTCCCACCCACCTTTTATCTTCCTGAAATGATTTATTCCCTTCTAAGGTGGAGGCTGCCGTGGCCTGTATGACCAACAGCCGACACTGTGGTTTGGCATCTTGTAGTGACTTGTGCTGCTTCCCTGCTGACAGGGGCAGGGAATTTCTGTCCAAACCCGTTCCTGTCCCGAGCTGTGCCCTCTGTGGTTCCTGCTGGCAGCAGGGGGAAGCTGCCAGGCCTCCAAGTACAGCAGCTGCCTCCTGCCACGAGTTTGGAATTTCCTTCTGTAGTGCCAGCTATCAGCTGGCTAAACTAGGACACTCTCAGGTAGTGTTTTCCCCCTTTCCTTGATGATTAAATCAAACACAAAAAGCTGTTTTGGAGCCTCTTTTAAAGGAGGATCTAAAAATACTGGTGGGGTTGGGGCAGGTCACCTGCAGGAGGGTTGGAAGCTGGCTTGGTTCTCCTCTGTGGGAATCCAGAGCTTCCCTCTGGCTGCCCTGGCAGGGGTCAGGAACCCCCCTGGACAGAGCCCCCAGAGACACTGTCTGTGATCTCTGTCCATGGAAAAGAGTTTTCAATCCTACAGGATCAATTACCAGCTCTGAGTGTTTGATATGAGTAATAATTAAGTGTGGCACGGGTGCAAAAGTAAAATTTTAGGATTCTAGATTAGGGGTTCAGAGGGGACAAGATGGAGGAAATTGGGTGTGTCTTGTCCTTTTTCTCCTTCTTCATGCCCTCCATGTTTCACTGTGGTGTTGGCATTTTTCTGTTGGTTCAGGCTGGGGACACACTGTCCAACGTAGGTGACAGATATTGGCACGTTATTGTAAATCCAGCACAGGTAGTTTGTGGTATTTAATGTTTGTACCATCCCACTGAGGGCAGAGCCCCACACGCTGCCCTGCAGGACAGAGCTGCGGCAGGGCAGCAGAACATGTTAGAGATAAACAGAATAAACAACCTTGAAACAGCACAGACCAATTATGGCTTCTCTGGCAGTGGGGCTGAGAGACAGAGACTTTCTACAATCTGGGAATTAGCCAAATTTGGCCAAAATAGCCAAATTTCTCTGCCTGATTGCTCTGCTTGTGTCCAGCTCGGGCAGAGGCTGCCGCGCTCACAGCCCGGCCCTGTCGGTGATGCGCCCGTGGGTGACTCCGTGGGTGACTGCAGCGTGTGGAAAGCAGCCCAGGGAGGCTCCCTGGTGCTTGTGGGGCAGGGCAGGGCATTCTCCTGGCAGGAATGTGGCCCTGCCAGCCAGCCCTGCCCCAACTCGGGGCTCGGCTCCCCCGGGATCGCCCCGGCCATGCGGCTGCTCCTCTGCCCCGCAGGTTTGGCTGCTCCCTGCCTGGATCCTCAATTCCTGCTGTGGGATTGCTGTGGAGTCTGTGGGGTTTTGCCCTCACAGGTGGTTTTTTGCCTGCTGAAGTGGTTAAAATGAGCGATGAGCGGCCCCGTGCCGGATCCACGGCCTGCTGTGGGTGTGCTGCTGCTTACAGCAGAATGCTCTGTCGCTGTCGAGGCAGGACGGGAATGAAGAGACTCTGATCAGAAGGCTGTGAGAGTAAAACTCTTATTTATTCAAAATATACCACTCTTTTATACAGATCTCTGTGAGGACCAACTCCACTGGTCCTGAAGTGAAAACAATCCACACCATTGGTGCAGAGTGCTTGACGCAGAGTGATAGAACTTAACTGTAAACAATGTGAACAACAAGAGAGATAAAGAATTATTTACATTCTTCTCCAGCTCTTTCCCAGGCTTTTTGCCTGGCTAGAAACTCTTGGTTTCTTTCTTTGACTGAATCCGAGTCCCACATTTCCCCAATTTAAACACATTTGTTTAAAGAAGGAGTTGTGTTTGTCCTCTTGACAAACACGACGAAAAGGGGGAAATGTGGGACTCAAATTCAGTCAAAGAAAGAAATGAGAGTTTCTAGCCAGGCAGAAGCCTGGGAAAGAGCTGGAGAATAATGTAAATTATTATTTATCTCTCTTGTTGTTCACATTGTTTACAGTTAAGTTCTATCACTCTGCGTCAAGCACTTTGCACCAATGCAATGGGTGGTTTCCACTTCAGGACCAGTGGAGTTGGTCCTCACAGAGATCTGTATAAAAGAGCAGTGTATTTTGAATAAATCAGAGTTTTACTCTCAGCAGCCTTCTGGCCAGAGTCTCTTCATTCCTGTCCTGCCTCAACAGCGACAATACTCCTGGTGGTTCTGCTTTTCTCATGGGTTATCCATGGTGGCTTTGCTTTTCTCAGCCTCTTGATTCCCAAGTCATCCTCAGATGGAATCACACACTCACTGCCCCCTTTATAGATCGGTGGTCGGAAGAGTGAAATTAAATGTGTGCCCAGACAGGCTCAAACTCCAACCTCCAAACTGAGATTGGTCTTCATTTTATTAAAAACTTTGTGGTTTTACTTTTCTCTCCTTCTTTTCAAGGAAATAGACAGACGGTTGGAAAAGAAGCTGAAGATCACACAGAAGGAAAGGTAAAATCCTGATTCTCCTGAGGTGCTGTTGGACAGCTGAAGGCCTGGGGAGCGGGAACAGTGGGGAAACAGCTTCAAACCGAGCAGGGAGCGCTGGGCTGGGGTGGAGAATCAGGGAATCCCTGTCTCCGAGCCACTAGGTGGCCCTTTGGAACCGCGGGATGCAGCAGAAAGATGGGAGCGCTCCGATTTCAGAGCCGGCTCCTCCAGACTGGGTGAAGCTCCGGCTTGGGGGAAGCTGTGTGAGAAAGAGGGGAAGAAATGGGTGAGTCAGGTAATCCCAGCTCCTGGCTCTGGACTGACTTGCTGTGTCTTGCATTTCTTTTCCTGCTTCCTTTGAGCCTGGGCAGGGCTGTGTTATTTTCTCCTACCAGAAATGTTTTTAATCACTGCTGACAAGTCCTTTGTTGCTGGGGTTTTTAGAGAGTCATGGGGTTTATCCTCCATGCAGAAAAGGGACTGTAAAACATCCAGATGGTGAGCTGGGGCCGAGGCTGGCTCTGAGGAGTGAAATGGCAGTGACAGGCTGGTGTCCTGGTGAGAGGGAACGCAGGGAATGAAATCAAGGTGTTTATACCAATATCTTCAACTAGAAACGCTAAAGCTTTACCCAGTGTCTGTTCCTTTCCTTCAGCAGAGTTTGATGGTGCCACACACAGCAGGGACTGGTTTTCCATCTCTTTCTGAGCTAATCCAGTGCTCCATCAGCCACTCCAGGAGGATGGAGCAGCCCCAGGCTGGGGATGGAGCTTGGCCTGGCCTGGGGCTGTCCCCTGCTGGTGTCACAGGGCTCAGGGAGGGCAGGTCACCCCAGGAGGCAGAGTGTCTCCTGTCTGTCAGCCACACAAACCCATGAGGGTGGCCTGGGTGTCACCTGCCAGCAAAGGCTCCGGGTCACTGCATCTGAAGGTGTTGCTGCTGGCACTGGGAGGTGCTGGATGGGCTTGGAGTCCAGCAGAGTCAGAAGGGAAACGTTTTGGAGTGTGACAACACTGTGACCTCCCTCTGCTAACGACTGCTGTGGGCAGAGGCCACGCTAAGGAGGCTGGGGTGTGCAGGAGCTGTGTCCACCAGGAAAAGTGGGATTTGGTGTCAGGGCTGAGAGGGGCATGGAATTCCAGAATGGTTGGGGTTCCTTAAAGCTCATCCCATCCCAGTCCCTGCTGTGGTCAGGGACACTTTCCAGTGTCCCAGGCTGCTCCAAGCCCTGTCCAGCCCGGCCTTGGGCACTGCCAGGGATCCAGGGGCTGAGGGGGGCATGGAATTCCAGAATGGTTGGGGTTGGAGGGACCTTAAAGCTCATCCCATTCCACTCCCTGCCGTGGCAGGGACACCTTCCACTGACCCAGGCTGGCCTTGGGCACTGCCAGGGATCCTGGACAGCCACAGCTGCCCTTTGCAGTTACAGCTGTAACGAGGCCTTTAATTATTCCAGGCTGCTCTCAATCACAGGAAGGCCATCGAGCACAAGGAATTCACACTCCGTGTGGAAAACAACCACCAACCCCGTGTTTTTCTTCCCAACAGCAGAAAGTCCAAATCTCCTCCCAAAGTGCCGATCGTGATCCAGGACGACAGCCTCCCCGCGGGGCCCCCGCCCCAGATCCGCATCCTCAAGCGGCCCACGAGCAACGGCGTGCTCAGCAGCCCTCACTCGGCCAGCCGCCCCGCCTTCCCCGTCAAATCGCTGGCCCAGCGCGAGGCCGAGTACGCCGAGGCCAGGAAACGCATCCTGGGCAGCGCCAGCCCCGAGGAGGAGCAGGAGAAACCCATCCTGGACAGGTGAGAGCAGCCCCGTGGGCCTGGCAGAGTGCGCAGCTGGGCTGGCACAGAGAGAGGAGAGCTCTGTCAGCACAGCCTCAGCTGCCTGGCAGCGAGGGAAGTGCCTGGTAAGGCTATAAACCATGGAAGTATTGAGGCTGGAAGAGCCCTCCATGATCAGAGTCCAGCCATTGACTGGCACTGCTGTGTGTGTTCCCAGGTGCCACATCTGTGTGCCTTTGGAATGCTTCCAGGGATCCAGGGGTAGCCACAGCTGCTCTGGGAGATCTGTGCCAGGGCCTGCCCACCCTCCCAGGGAGGAATTCCTTCCCATTCCCACCCATCCCTGCCCTCTGGAAGTGGGAATCCATTCCCCTAAGCTTTTGTCCAGAGTCTCTCCATCTTCCCTGTTGGCCTCTTCGGGTGCTGGAAGGCCCCACTTAGGTCACCCCAAAGGTTCTCTGTTCTAGGCTGAACAATCCCAGTTCCCAGCTGTGTCCCTCTGTCCCCTCAGGCTCAGCTCTGTCCCGCAGGCTCAGCTCTGTCCCTCTGTCCCTCTGTCCCTCAGGCTCAGCTCTGTCCCTCTGTCCCCAGGCCCCAGCAGTGTCCCTCTGTCCCGCAGGCTCAGCTGTGTCCCTCTGTCCAGGCTCAGCTGTGTCCCTCTGTACACTCAGGCTCAGCTCTGTCCCTCTGTCCCCCAGGCCCCAGCAGTGTCCCTCTGTCCCCAGACCCCAGCAGTGTCCCTCTGTCCCCAGAGGCTCAGCTGTGTCCCTCTGTCCAGGCTCAGCAGTGTCCCTCTGTTCCCCTGTCCCTGCAGGCTCAGCTCTGTCCCTCTGTCCAGGCTCAGCTGTGTCCCTCTGTCCCTGTGTCCCCAGGCCCCAGCAGTGTCCCTCTGTCCAGGCTCAGCCGTGTCCGTCTGTCCCAAGGCCCCAGCAGTGTCCCTCTGTCCCCAGAGGCTCAGCTGTGTCCCCCTGTCCAGGCTCAGCAGTGTCCCTCTGTCCCTGTGTCCCCAGGCCGCCGCGGATCTCGCAGCCCGAGGACAGCCGGCAGCCCAACAACGTGCTCCGGCAGCCGCTGGGCCCCGATGGCTCGCAGGGCTTCAAGCAGCGCAGATAGAGGCGGAGGCGCCGTCCCGCCGGCACGGACACACGGACCCGGGCCAGGGCACCTCCCGGGCTGATTTGCACTGTGACCCTTCTGCTCTGCCCACTGTGACCTTCAGCCCCACGCACTGTGACCTCCCCTCTCCACCCACTGTGAGCGGCCGTCCCGGCCCGGCAGGGCTGTCCCCGCGGCCGGGGGACACGAGGGGCCGTGCCGGACTCGGCCGGGCGCAGGGAGTCGTGCGTGTCCCGCTCGGGTCGGAGCAAGCGCCAGCAATAACGTTTGTTGTACTCCAAACCTGGCATTTAAGGGAAAAAAAAAAAAAAAAAAAAAAGATGGGAAGCCTCCCCACCTCCCCAGCCACGCATGTTGTCCTCATCACTTCCAGAACGAGTTCTGTTTCCGAGGATTTTAGGTTCCTTTATTTGGTTTTCTGTTTGTTTTCTGTATCTTGGATTGGCGGAGTGCGTGGGAAGGGTTGGAGCCGTTTGTTTGAATCCAGAAGGGCAGCTGAGTGTTACGAAGGGAATTCCCATGGATTTCCATGAATGTGATGCCTTTGGGATGACAAGCTCATGCTTTTCCTTCTCCATTTCTCCATTTCCACTGCCATGGAAGCGAACTCCTGGATACCCCCAGGTACCTCGGAGTCAGACCCAGTTCACACCTTGCTCCTGTTAAAGCTTGGCTCCGATTCCCTGCTGGCTTTGAGGAGAAGCTTAAAATACATCCTTTTTGGGTTCTTTTGTGTTTGGGGAGAAGGGAATGCAGAGTGAGCCCGTGCAAATGCCTGCTGCCCGGCCACAGAGGGCTGGGCAGTGAAGAATTAGGGAGATGTGAGGAGGAGGAGGAGGAGGAGAGGCTCCGGCGCCGCTGCAGCCGTGACATCGGGCAGTGGGATATCCCGAGGGCCGGCCCGGCGGCGCAGGGACGGTACGAGCTCTCCTGGAACGGCAGAACCAGGAACCAGACCAGCCCTGGGGAAAGCCTGGATGATCCCCCATCTCCCTGGAGGCTTCAGGGAAGGGATTGTCCTGCTCAGGTTCCTGAGAGGAGAACGGGGAGGCTGCTGCTGCCCAGGAATATGGAGATGTTCCCCCCTGGATGAAGCTGAGGATCACTTGAGATATCAAAGGATTGGATGAACACTAAATGCTTTTCCTGGAGGGACCAGGACCTGGAGGTCTGGGACGGATTCCTGCATCCGGATGCTGCCTTCAGTAGGTTCGAGGGGGAACGAGCCAGTCTGGATGTGCACGAAAAGCCCTGTGTGGAATTGAGGCTGAAATCCCACAGAAACGGGAAAATAGAAACTACCTGTGTATCCAAGCGATCCCGGGAACCTTAATGAGCTCCTCGGTTCAGGGTGGGGGGAGATTCCCCCGGGATTTTTGGGGGATCTCACTCATCCCCCTCAGCCTGGGGGCTGGGATGAGCTCCGAGCGGGAGCGTGAGGGAGAAGGACGTCAGCAATAACTGTACTCACTGCGCCTTTCCTTAATTATTCCTAAAAAGATAGCCTCAAAATAGCCAAAAACCTCCCGAATCCACCGGATTTCCGGAGCGGCCGGTGGGGCGCCGCATCGCTGCCTCCTCCGTGTCCGGCACCGAAATTTCCACCTCCGGCACCGAAATCCCCTTTTCCAGCACTGAAATCTCCTTCTCCGGCTGCTCCTGCTCCATCCCGGTGCCGGGACACGGTGCCGGGACACGGTGCCAGGACACGGTGCCGGGACACGGTGCCCAGGACACGTCCCGCCCGCGGGCAGGGCTCGGCGGCGTTCCTGTGGGAAGCGCCTTCATCCCGAGGAGGAGGAGGATGGAGCGGCACCGTGGGTTTATCCCCCACCCCCTCCCCAAAAAAAAAATAAACCTGCGCCGGAAAGAAAACGTTTTATAAATTGTATTTTAAATAAATGTCTTTAAACTTTTCACGGCTTTGTGGCTCGCTCCTTTTAGCGCCGTGTCTGACGGGGGTGGCGTTGTGTGGAAGGTAAAATCTGGGAGGTTTTCCCATCATTTTACCCAAAAGCAGCGGATTTTACCCCGTTTTTAGGATGGTTGAGAGGAGTAGTCTGAGGAGAGTGCTCCAAGCGAAGATGTGGATCCCAAGTGTGGATGGAGCGCTGCCTCTCCCTAGAGGAGAACACAAATCAGTTAATTGAACTCATTTATCTAATGTGATTATTTTGTTGCTCCATGCTGGGATAAATCACATTTATCTAATGTGATTATGTTGTGCTCCATAATATCCAGAGAAGGTTCTGGAGGCTCCTGCAGTGAGGAATATGGAGCCCTGGCAGCTCCCACAGCCCCCAGCTCCCTTGGAATTCTGATGACTTTTAACTGTTTATTTAGAATAGAAATAATGTAAACATATAACATTATTAATTAATAATTATACGGATAATATTACTATAGAAATATTAATAAATTAATTAATATATAATAAAAATATAATTGTATATATATATTATACAACCCAGTATCTAGTACATATATTTTACATACCGTATCTACCTTATAGGATATGTAATACTATAATATATGGTATATAACTATATAGTAGTTATAACTATATATATGGTTATATATAAATATATATAGTTATATATAAGTATGTATAGTTATATATAATATATAAATTATATACATTATAAAAATATATGTAAATATATATTTTTGTTTAAATATATACATTATAAAATATTATTTTATACGATATTTTATAGTATATTAATTATAGTTTATATACTATGTAAATTATAAAATGTATATATTTAATATAAATTAATATATAATAAAAATATAATTGTATATATATTATACAACCCAGTATCTAATACATATATTTTACATACCGTATCTATGTTACAGGATATGTAATACTATAATATATGGTTTATAACTATATTGTAGTTATAACTATATATATATATATATATATATAAAAAAATATATATATAGTTACATATATAAGTATGTATAGTTATATATAATATATAAATTATATAAATTATATAAATTATAAAAATATATAAATCTATATTTTTGTTTACATATATGCATTACAAAATATTATTTTATACTATATATATTTTATAATATATTAATTATAGTTTATATAATATAAATTATAAAATTTATATATTTAATATAAATTATAAATAATATATAAAATATAATAATATAATATATATTTATATATAAAATAATGTGAAAAAAGAAATATAAATATATACTTTTTATATACATTATATATATTTATTTTACATATAAAATATATAAATATTTTATATATTTATTATATATTTATTATATATATTTATATATATATAAAATATATATATTTATTTTATATATAAAAAATATAATTTTTTAAATATAAAAAATATAAATTTCTATAATAGAAATAAATATAAATAGTAGACCCTAATAAATTATCTGATTTATAAAATTACCGGGTTTATAAGCCCAGACAAACCCGGGGTTTGGCGGCTCGGAGCCCAGAGCCGGTTCCAGTTCCCGCAGCGAACTGGGACCAGTTCCTCGGGCCCTGCGCCGGGTCCTCCGGCCCGCTAGGGGGCGCCGCGGGTGCGGAAGCGCCTCTCTGGGCGGGCCCCGCCCGCTGTGCGGCACCGCCGGGCTACCACCGAGACGGCGGCACAGAGCGGCGGCGGGGCCGCCATGGCGGCGGGGCCGGAGGAGGAGTACGAGTCGGTGCTGTGCGTGAAGCCGGCGGTGCTCGTGTACCGGGTACCGCCGCGGGCCTCCAACCGCGGCTACAGGTGCGGCCCGCGCCCGCCCGCGGGGTGGCAGCGCCTCCGGGTGGGGGGGGGGGGGGGGCGCGGTTCCTGCCTGCGGGGTCACCTCTTCGTGAGGGGTGCGGGGTTTGTGGGGTCCCATCTTCGTGAGGCGTGTGGGGTTTGTGGGGTCCTCTCTTCATGAGGTGTGTGGGGTTTGTGGGGTCCTCATGAGGTGTGTGGGGTTTTTGGGGTACCATCTTTTTGAGGTGTGTGGGGTTTGTGGGGTCCTCTCCTCATGAGGTTTGTGGGGTCCCATCTTTGTGAGGTGCGTGGGGTTTGTGGGGTCCCCTGAGGTGTGTGGGGTTTGTGGGGTCCTCTCTTCATGAGGTGTGTGGGGTTTGTGGGGTCCCCTCTTCATGAGGTGTGTGGGGTTTGTGGGGTCCCCTCTTCATGAGGTGTGTGGGGTTTGTGGGGTCCTCTCCTCATGAGGTTTGTGGGGTCCCCTGAGGTGTGTGGAGTTTGTGGGGTCCCATCTTCGTGAGGTGTGTAGGGTTTGTGGGGTCTCATCTTCGTGAGGTGTGTAGGGTTTGTGGGGTCCTCTCTTCGTGAGGTGTGTGGGGTTTGTGGGGTCCTCTCCTCGTGAGATGTTGGGGGTTTGTGGAGTCCCATCTTCGTGAGGTGTGTGGGGTTTGTGGGGTCCCATCTTCGTGAGGTGTGTGGGGTTTGTGGGGTCCTCTCTTCATGAGGTGTGTGGGGTTTTTGGGGTCCCATCTTTGTGAGGTGTGTGGAGTTTGTGGGGTCCCCTCTTCGTGAGGTGTGTGGGGTTTTTGGGGTCCCATCTTTGTGAGGTTTGTGGGGTCCCCTGAGGTGTGTGGGGTTTGTGGTTCCCAGGAGGTGTCTGGGGTCTCTCCCTCTCCGTAGCACAACAAGAACTGCCCCTCATGGGGTCTCTCAGCCCCCCGTGGGTTCCTGGGGAGGTGTCTCTGCCCCCATCCCCACCCCGCAGGGCTGTCCCCGTACCCCCATGTGTTTTGGGGTGAAACGAGCCAAATGTGATGTTAGAAATGAAAATTTGTCCAGCCAAATTAATATGAAAAATAAAATATTTATTTTGCAATCAAATTCTATCTAGCCAGCTACAAGGAAAGAGCAGAGCCGAGCCCAGGGTTGGCACCAGAAATCAGCCTCAGCAGAGGTTTTCCTCCATGCCACACACCTCCATCCTGGCACAAGTGGTTTTTATAGGGAAAATTCCTCCTGAGGCCAAGATTTCAGCAATCAGTCTTTTCTTCTATTCAGAGTCCATATGTTAATAAGATTCTCTTTTTTTGGTGATGAGGGAGAACAAATCACTGTCCGGAGTTTGTTGAATCCTTGATGAAATTTGCGGGAATTTGGGAATGCTGTACTCACATGTATCTGCTTGAAGATTTCCATGATATCCATCTCGGGTCGTTCACAATCAGCACCTGGGGTTTCTGTATCTCCCCAGCCATGGCCCATCTCCTGGTGTCCCCAAATCCCACCACACATGGCCCATCTCCTGGTGTCCCCAAATCCCACCACACATGGCCCATCTCCTGGTGTCCCCAAATCCCACCAGACATGGCCCATCTCCTGGTGTCCCCAAATCCCACCAGACATGGCCCATCTCCTGGTGTCCCCAAATCCCACCACACATGGCCCATCTCCTGGTGTCCCCAAATCCCACCAGACATGGCCCATCTCCTGGTGTCCCCAAATCCCACCACACATGGCCTATCTCCTGGCGAGCTGTACCTTCTTACTTGTAAATCAGTTTCCAATCTACACCCGGTCCCACCTGCGCCTCTGAGGGTGTGGGGGGAATCCTAATACAAACGTGTATACTCTAACAAATATTCAATATCACATATATCAGAAATGGTGTGAATTATATCTACTCCACATAACATGTGATAAACCCAGCGTCTCCACTGCCACAGGCAGGGCTCAGGCTCCTTTCCCCTCCCCAGGGCCGCCGAGTGGCAGCTGGACCAGCCAGCCTGGAGCGGCCGCCTGCGGATCACGGCCAAGGGCAGCACGGCTTTCATCAAGCTGGAGGACAAAGCCTCGGGTGAGGGGGATGGCGGGGCTGCGGGAGCAGCGGGCGGGCCGGGCCCGGCCTCACCCGGCCCTGTGCTGCCTTCCAGGAGAGCTCTTCGCCCAGGCTCCTGTGGAGCAGTTCCCCGGCATCGCTGTGGAGGGTGTGACGGACTCCAGCCGCTACTTTGTCATCCGGATTGAAGATGGGAACGGTTCGTGCTGTGCACCCGGCGGGGACCTCGCTGCTCCTGTTGGGGAAGGATTCCTGCTTCCCATTCCTGCTTTCCATTCCTGCTTCCTATTCCTGCACGGGGGGCACAGGGAGGAGCTGCCTCCCTCCCTCCCTCCCTCCCTCCCTCCCTCCCACGGCTCTGGCCTTCGCCAAGAACAAAAACACTTGGGTTTGCCTGCTCAGTGTTAACAGGAACCCCCCACCCCTGCTGCCAGTTAATTAAAATTTGTACTGAAGATTAGGTGCAGCCAATGAGGTGAAACATCTAGAGATGCCTTTGGAGAAGGGAAGGCTCTGGGGTGACCTAATTGTGGCCTTCCAGTCCCTAAAGGGGCTCCAGGAGAGCTGGAGAGGGACTGGGGACAAGGGATAGAGGGACAGGACACAGGGAATGGCTTCCCACTGCCAGAGGGCAGGGAGGGATGGGATATTGGGCAGGAATTGTTCCCTGTGAGGGTGGGCAGGCCCTGGCACAGGCTGCCCACAACAGTTGTGGCTGCTCCTGGATCCCTGGAAGTGTCCAAGGTTGGAAGGGGCTTGGAGCAGCCTGGGAGAGTGGAAGGTGTCCCTGCCCGTGGAACGGGATGGGATTTACAATCCTTCCAACCCAAACCATTCTGGGATTCTGTGATCCCCAGTCCCGTGGCTCAGTCTCCAGTGTCCCAGCTCCCTCTGGAGGCAGCGCCAGGCACGGGGCTGTGCAGGATGGAGCATCCCATCCCCATTCCCATCCCCATTCCCATCCCCATCCCCATCCCCATCCCAATCTCCTCCTCCCTGCCCAGGCCGCCGGGCGTTCATCGGGGTTGGCTTTGTGGACCGAGGGGATGCCTTTGACTTCAACGTGGCTCTCCAGGACCACTTCAAGTGAGTTTTTTGTGCCTCTCCC